GGAGCACATGTGTGCTGATGTGCTACAGCAGACAGCCACTCAGATCAAGTTCCCATCCACGGGGGTGGACACAATGCCCTACTGGAACCTGCTGCCCCCCAAGCGGCCCATCAAGGAGGTGTTAACAGACATCTTTGCCAAGGTGCTGGAAAAGGGCTGGGTGGACAGCCGCTCCATCCACATCTTCGACACCCTGCTGCACATGGGAGGTGTTTACTGGTTCTGCAACAACCTGATTAAGGTACTTGGGCTGGGTGGGTGTGGGCTGGGGTGGGCAGGTGTCCAGCCCGGCTGGCTAGGATTCTCTTAAAGATGCTGCTGTGAGCTGGGCAGCCTCCTGGGAATACTGAGTATGGGATGGGGGTGGGGGAATAAAGCACTCTGGCCCCCGTACCTGCCTAGAGAGCCCACAGGAGTGGTAGGGGTGTTGAGTGCCAGAGTCGGGCCTTCAGCTCCTCAGCAGCCCGGCTCACCTGCCCATCAGGAGCTGTTGAAGGAGACTCGGAAGGAGCACACGCTGCGGGCAGTGGAGCTGCTCTATTCCATCTTCTGTCTGGACATGCAGCAAGTGACCCTCGTCCTGCTGGGCCACATCCTGCCTGGCCTGCTCACCGACTCCTCCAAGTGGCACAGCCTCATGGATCCCCCCGGCACTGCACTGGCGAAGTAGGATTCTCTTCAGAGCCTGCCTGGCTCCCACACGTGGGCCTCCAGCCCCTGCCGCCCAAAGTTAGGCACCCCAACCTGTACCGCCTTGGGAGCTTGGCTGTGGGCATATCCTGTGAGGTGGGGCTTGATCAGTGTGGACACAGGTACCTTGTTCTGGTTCCCACTAACTGTACCTCCTTTTCCTGGAACCCTTTGCCAGACTAGCTGTATGGTGTGCCCTGAGTTCCTACTCCTCCCACAAGGGACAGGCATCCTCCCGCCAAAAGAAGAGACACCGGGAAGACATTGAGGTAGAGGCTTCTCTGCTCACTTATTAATGTCTCTATTCACCTTTTCTGAGTGTTTGCTGGTAAAAGAGGCCTCCTCGGGAAGTAGGGTCAGAAACATGGGCACTGCCCTCGCCTCAGCTGGTTGGACCTGGTCAGTCAAGATCTGGAGAGGTGGCTTGTGTGGACCCCCAGCTGCCCTTGGCCGAGGTCCTATCTGCTCACTGGGTCTGTGGAGGGGTGAGGCAAGGGACCAGCATGCTGGCAATGCTGATACTGTGGGCTCAGACTTGAGTTCCAGTCCTCTTTGCTGGTGGCTGGAACTTTGAGGACTGGGGGTAAGTGTTAGTGACTTTCCTGCTCTCCAGGATTACATCAGCCTCTTTCCCTTGGACGACATGCAGCCATCAAAGCTGATGCGACTGCTGAGCTCCAATGAGGACAACGCCAACATCCTCTCCAGTCCCAGTGAGTGTGTGGGAGGGCTGCATGGGTCCCTCTTTGCCTGGGCACTCACTCTTCCCTGGGGAAGCTGCTCCGCTTGATCCCTGCCTTGGGCCTCAGCCCTGCACCTCAGCTACAGCCTTGGTCACCAGTCTGTGCTGGCTGGTCAGAGGGTGTGGCAGGGGCTTGTGTCATTTTGTTCCCTAGGGGATGCTCCCTTGCTTACCCCTAGAGATAAGGTCACTGTTCTCTGTCCCTAAAGAAGCTCTTCTGCAGGCTGGGGATATAGCTCAGTTGGTAGAGTGCTTGCCTCGAATGCACGAGGTCCTGGGTTCAATCCCAGCACTATAAATAAATAAATAAGGAGCTCTTCTGCCCAGGTCCTCCCAGCCCCACAGCTACCCCTCCCGAACCTCCTCAGCACGGGCTTAAGGGGTGACCCTGCATTAAGGGAGTTCACTACCTCGGCACAGCCTGTGCCATTGACTCACCAGCTGTGGCCTTCCTTCCTTCCCCCCGAAACATGCCCTGTGGCCTGGAGCAGGCCCAGGCTGAGACTTGAGGCTAATTCCCGCTCCTCCTGCCCTCTCCATCCTGCTTCCTTGGATGTCATTACCTTCTCACTGTCCTCTCCTCATTGCCAGGCTTCCTGCCAGAGGCGGCTTCGGCGGTGTTTAATTTCTCCTATTTTCAGAGGTTGTAGAAGTTTCTTTGGGGCCTTTCAGAGACTAGGGAACCAACCACATGCTTGAAAGATGCTGGGTCTGCCACCTGTAAACCTGTGACCTATAGCTGGTTACTTTGCAAATCTGAGTCTCAGTTTTCCCATTTGTAAAGTGGGCGTTGAGAGCGTTAAGCCACGTACTCCATGAGAAGTGCCAAGGTTGGCCCTGGTGGTGCTTGTTAGTTCTTCTCACTCATCTCCTGTATTTGGGGCCCTACTGTGACTCTTGATCCAAAGATCTTCTCTTAACACAGCACACACCAAATACCTCCTGTGGGTGGACAGGTGAGGACTAGCCTCGGGAGAGTCAGTTTTTGAGTGCATTGCCCCCTCTGCCCTGTCCCACAGCTGACCGGTCCATGAACAGCTCCCTCTCAGCCTCTCAGCTCCACACAGTCAACATGAGGGACCCTCTGAACCGAGTCCTGGGTGAGTCTTCTCAACTGCATCTGAATCTGGGGGCTGAGCTGGAAGGAGTCCCCTTTCCTCAGGGGAAGCCAGCAGGCCTTGTCGTGGAAGGGGTCCTCCTAGTACCCCCTCACTGCCCTCCACCGCATGTCCCCACCCCTCCCCTCCATCTCTCCTGTCTCCCCGGCTCCCATTTGCCCCCTTCTCCTCTCTGTTTTCCTCTTTGCTTTTTCTCTCTGATATCCCCATCCGGAGCACTTCCGGCACTTCTTTGTCTTCCCTTCTCAGTCCCGTCTTCCCCCTGAGTCTGACCTGTTCTCAGATCCTCCCATGAATTCTCTGTTCTCCCCCTCCGCACAGCCAACCTATTTCTGCTCATTTCCTCCATCCTGGGCTCCCGCACCGCGGGCCCCCACACCCAGTTTGTGCAGTGGTTCATGGAGGAGTGCGTGGACTGCCTGGAGCAGGGCAGTCGGGGCAGCATCCTGCAGTTCATGCCCTTCACCACTGTGAGTACCACGTCTAGATGAGGAGGGTGGCAAGCCTTAGGGGTAGCGGTTCACAGAAGGAAGGGACTCCTTCCTCCTGGGACATCACACCTGCCTGAACTACCCCAGTGAGCAGCCGTTTATCCATCTTTCTTTGCAGGTTTCAGAACTGGTGAAGGTGTCAGCCATGTCCAGCCCCAAGGTGGTTCTGGCCATCACAGACCTCAGCCTTCCTCTGGGCCGCCAGGTGGCTGCCAAAGCCATTGCTGCTCTCTGAGGGACTTAGAGGAGCCACAGTGAGTGGCTAGGTTCCAGCCCAAGAGCGTTAGATGGGAACATTTGTTGCTCAAATCCACATGATCTGAGAACCCTTTGTCAGTTTCCAGATTTTTGTTCTTCTCTGGACTTTCACAGTTTCTTTTGTGATTTCCTCTCCCTTATGCTAATGCCTGAAGAGCGTGAGCAGCCTGGATCTTCAGCCTTTGGTGTCCCCCACATACCAGAAGTACACTTAGCCCTGAGGAACTTTACAGATTCGTATATGTATATAAATATATTTTTGTAGTAACTGAGGGAAAGCTCACTTGTAAATAAAAGTCCTTACGGGTCCTTTGTGCCTCTAGTACCTGTGTTGCCTGGATCAGGATGGGGACTTCTCCTTGCACTCTTCCTGCTGGGCTGTGGCTGGGAGGGGCTCAATCCTGTGGTGAGGAGGGAGGAGGAGAAGGAAGAGGTGCAGAGGCAGGCAGGACTCAGGTTCCCGCTTGTCCACTCAGGAGGACAGGGCAGGGCAGGGGATGAGAACAGCTGCTTTCCACAGACTCGACTGGGGTGGAAAGGAGAGGTACCACCTTCCCTGCCCTGAGCCATACCCTGAGAAGGGAGCCTGGGCAGAAGGCCATAAGATGCTGGGGCAGGGTGTCCTGCTCTTCTCTCATGCCCCACCCAGTCTGATTGACCCATAATTTGATCTGTCCCCTCCAGAAAAAGAGCAGGGGTGATAAGGACAGGAACTCCTTAACCCTTTTTTGTTCACAACCCACTCTCCAAGCCTGAGGCAGAAGGCCCTGAGCCATCCTGCAGGGCTCTGACCCTGCCTAAGGACCAGGTGGGGAAGGGAATGGAGGTGACTGAGGAGCCACAGGTGGGAGGTCTTGAGGATGGTGGCTCCACTTGGCTTGGGGGACACTCCCAAACCAGGCAGGGACCCTTCAGTTACAGGTGTGCCTCACACACGTGGTAAGGAGGCGAGGACCCAGCTCTCCCTGGCCACATCCCAGCCCTGCCCTGGGACCTCTTCACCCGCAGGCTGAGCCAGGCAGGAAAGGGCCGATTGGACGAGTGCTCTGTGAGGAAGAGATAACCGGGCCTGGAATTTGAGTTCTCTTTTTTTTTTTAATTTAATGTTTTTATTTATTTATTTACTTTTTGGCTGTAACTGGACATGATATCTTTATTTTATTTATTTATTTTTATGTGGTGCTGAGGATCGAACCCAGGGCCTCCCATGTGCTAGACAAGCGCTCTCCACTGAACCACAATCCCAGCCCCTGGAATTTGAGTTCTGATCCAAGTGGTCACCAAACACTCGGCTTCCTCATCTTCCGTCTTTGTGGGCAACTCTGGATGGGCTCAAGTTTATGGCAGCTGGTAAAGCAGCCAGCTGTGCACATGTTCAGGACCCCTGGCTATAGCCCAGTCGGCCTGTGTCTGGCCCAAGCCCTCTCTCGCCTCCAGCACCCACAGTCTGTCTGCCTTCTGCCTTTCCTACAAGGCTATGGCTGCACCAGGACAAGGAATGTGTGCTTTTTATTGCTCTGTCCCTAGCACAGCCCAGTACTTGCAGAGTAGGCGCCCAGGCGGTACATGCTGAAGGAGTCAGCGCTGGGTGAGCTAGAGGACCTGCCTCCTCCTCAGCCTCCTCCCCACTCCCTCTGGCCTCTCCCACCATTCACCAGCCCCTAGCCAGGCACTAGCTGGACTCAAGAAGAAAGAAGAACATTTACTAGAGACAAACACTTTATTATCCTCAGCACGGTTACAATGAAGAGTGGGGACAGGGTAGAGGCTGAGCTTGGGCTTCCTTTCACATCACACTCCCTTCGTGATTGCCCCTTGTCTTCTCCCTTCCTAATCCCAGTCCTAAAAGGAGAATCTGACTTTGGTGGGGACAGGGGCAAGAAACCCAAGGACACTGATGTCTGAGCTCCTTGTACTGGGAGTCAAACATGCCCCCCAAAACAGAAAGAAACTAGATTCTTCAACAAATTCCAGGTCCAAGACTCCTAGTCCCGGCTGCCTGTGTTTCTCCAGAGACTTAATAATGCCTATGGGGATGGGGATGTGAGGGGACACAGGACTTGGCTGACCAGAACGAGGGATACAAGGATCCAGTTGGGGAACACTGCTGTTTAAATATTAAACAGGGTTGGTTTGTCTCCCACATGGGAGACCTTCTCATGCTTCCTGGGGCCCCAAGGTAGATACCTCAGGGTTCACTGTGGCTCTTCTTAGTGCCCCACAGAGCTAGGGCCAGGGAGCAGCTCCAAGAAGAAATACTTGGTATTTACCTATCTACCTCCCACCCAGTGGACAGGAGGACAGGAGCTTTTTCTCACTGCTACAGGCAGGAGAATGAAACTCGGAGATGGAGGGAAGGATACAGAGGTCTGGGGCTCTGTTCTCTCTTCCCTGACTTTAAATATTAGGCTTAAATAAGCATAAATATTAAATAGAGATAAATACACTGGGTGGGGAGGGCTTTGCTCAGGGCTCAGCAAGGTGGCGCAGAACCCGGTACACCAGCTCCAGGAGCCTCTGCAGTCGGGAAGCAACCAGGACACCTACTGCCCGGCGCTGGAAGGCAGAGGTGAAGGTTGGCATGGTGCCCTGGGTGGGATGCACAGCAGGGGCCACCCCTAGGTCTTCCATCTGCAGGTGAAAGAAGAGATGAGGGATCAGGCTCTGCTGAGCAGGAGTTGCTGCAAGTGAGAAAACACTGGAGGGGGCTGTTGCGCAGGGCTGTGGGCAGCCACGCAGTTCATGGTGGAACTGAGACTCAGGTCTGAGACCTGACTCCTTGCCCTTGGCTGGAGGGACTGGAGGTAGGCCAGCAGGAGAGTCCTGAAAGCAGGGGTGTGGCTGACTGCACAAGGCCCCCCGAGAATGCTCTCTTGACTGTAGCGAGCTTCCGGGATGTAGTGTGGCCATGGCAGTATGACCTGGTCTCCACCCCCGTCAGTCACTTGCCTCTCTCTCCAGGGCTCACCTGCTGCCAGACAGTGGTGGCAAAGTTGGCAACATCCAGCTGTAGCATGTCCACAGTGGGAGACAACTCGGGGGATATCCCTGCCAGGGCCTGCAGGAGGCCCTGGTAGAGGAAGAGGCCGCTCTGCAGTTGGCTCAGGCAACCTGTCTGGAGAGCAGAGTAGGAGAGGTAGGCGCTGCATGGGGTGGGCCACTCCCTGTTCCCAGGCACCTTGGCATAGGGGTGTGCTCCCTCCCTCTGACCCGCCTCTCCCCATTCCCCTCCAGCCACTCACCAGCTGCAGGCCCTGGCTGGAGCAGTTGCTTAGGGGAGCCTGAGGAATGCCCAGAGAGTGGCCGAGCAGCGCCAGCTCCTCAGGATGGCACAGCTGGTAGGTGGCACACTGGGAATGGAAGGATGTTGAGGACCACTCACCAGGGCCAGGTTGCAGGCTGCTCCTCCTTAAGCCTTCCCATCTCCCTGGGCTTCCCTTCCCTTAGTGTCCTGCCCAGTTTCTCAGCCCCATTCTACTCTGCTCCCCAATTCTGACTGCCCTGGGCCCTGCCCTTCGGCCTCAGCTCCACTCTCTTAATTCTCTTCCATGTCCCCCATGTGTCTCACTCTTTGCGCCCCTTCCTGATGACATCTTCTCAGTTCCCTCAGTTAGCTCCCCTTTCCTCCCTGCTCCCTCCATCTCTCTCTCTCTCTCTCTCTCTCTCTCTCTCTCTCTGGTCTTCTTTCCTCCACACCCTCAGGCGGCTTCCACTGTCTCACTCACCAGCTTCTCCTGTAGCACAGAGCCTTGGGCCTGGATCTTCCTCACTTGCTCTAAGCACTTGAGCACGAAGCTCTGGGGGACAGGCAGGGAGCTGGCAGGGTCCAGGGGCACAGCCTCTTGCCCCGTCCAGAATGCACTGTGCCACAGCAGCAGCTGTAGGGCTGGAGCAGACCCTGCTCAGGAGATGCTGTCCCCTCCCACCTGGCTCCCTCCCGGGGACAAGGCCAAGTGTCTCCAATCCCCCAGCCCAGAAAGGAGATCCCAGCCCCTCTGCCACTCTGGACCCCCTCCCAAACCCAGAGCAAATAGGTAGCCAGGATCCTCACCTATCAGCTTCGTGGGGCTCCGGGCAGCAGGGCCAGCCATGGTCTTGTGGGGTCTGGGCTGCAGACTCTGGGCTCTGTCAGGGGCCAACTCCAGAGGGCCTTTATACATAACCCCATGGAGGCCTGGGAGGAAATTACCTGGGGCTGCCACTAATAATGCTTAGTAATAACTTCCAGGATTTATGCAAATTTGGCGTCCAGGACAATGCAGGGGGGGTGGACAAAAAGCTGTTTGCGAAAGTTTTGTGAAATTGTGGAATCTCTGATCCTTCTTTGACGTCTAGTCCCCCTCAAACTCTCTTCCCCCTTCCAGCCCCACCCAGGCCTAAACTGCCCCCAGGGTATTTGAACAGAACTTGTCAGGAGGCTATGCGGCTGGTCAGAGCCCTGGAGGCAAGAGTCTGTTCAGGCTGCTGACCTGACGCTGCCTCCCTCCCTCTGGCAGATGTGCTGGGCAGCTCCTTTTGCCCCTCGCTTTATCTTAGGTAAAAATTCTAAAAGATTGTGCTCCATTTGTGTACAATGTGTCAAAGTGCATTCTACTGTCATGTATAACAAATTAGAACAAATTAGAAAATAAAATAAAAGATATTTTTAAAAAAGA